GCATATATTTATTGAATTCTAAATATATTACTTTTATTAAGCATTAACAAGAAATTGGAGCATGCCCAAGGGTTCAAATTATGTTGATTAGTACAAACGACTTAGTAGCTCATGTGAAGTAGATAATCTAGTTAAACATACGAGTTCATTTGTAAAATAAATTACTTACTAAATAGAAAAATAAGGGTAAGTTATTATATTTCAAATGCTGCCAATCAATAGACGTAACTGATTTATTACATCTGAAATTGTTCTTGACCTCATCATTAAATGCAAAAACAAAAATAAGAATAATATAAGGATTTTACAGTAATAACATTTGAAAGGTTAATTTATTAGTTATATTATACAAAAAAAAATTGTAGAGTGTATCGTTGTTTATTGCTTTTTCCTTTAAAATAAAAACTTGTAAATTAAAAAAAATTGGTAAAAGATGAAATGATTCTACCGCTGTTTACAGAGAATTCTCGAATGATTTGCTTTTATTATTTCAATAAAAATAAATTCGCTTGTATATATAAAATTCATTTCTATAATTTTCAGAAGTTTTAAAAGTTGTAAAACTCTTTAAACGTATACCGATCCGAATCCAAGTGTGATTTTCACTCAAGTTCCGATATGTTTTATTCAAAAGGCAAACTTTTTCAGTCTGCTACAAGAACAATTTGTACAAGGATCAAATATCTTTTTTCATTTGTTATAAATCATTAAAAATCTTAAACAATATTTTTATATACTCAGGTGCAACTACTGAATTCGAAATAAAGTATTTTGGTACTGTTCATTGGGTTTTAGGCGTAAAAGTGGAATTTTATTAATTTGGTCAAAGTAAGTTGACAAGTTTTTTAAATCCTCTAACACTAATATTTATGAACTAGTTTTGTTTTATTAACTAACATACAGTAGAAATATGAAGTTAACGTTTATTTGTGTTCAAATGTGCATTTTGAAACGATTTTTTTTAATTCTCTCCTAATAAACTTATTCAAAAATAATTCTAATTTCTTTATGTTACATAAATATGTACTTATATAGTCATTAATTTATTTCCAATCATCCGTAACTTCTTTGATACAGAAGATACATATCTTATTTCTAAAATCGATAAAACTAAAGACATATCTCTATAAGTCTAATATTAGCTAGTCTAATATCAACACAGTACTAATGACGATTTTAATCCAGTGGGATTTATTAAATATATTAACACACATTAAGAGAATACTGTGGTATATCACGTACAGACAGTTGGTCAACTTTGATATAAACAATGTTAGAAATGTGATTTTAAATAGTGTGATTAATTTTTCATATGGTGAGAGATGACTTCTTTCTATTAAAACGTTAGAGTAATAATATACAAATAGGTATATACCTAAAGTGGTGAAATTAATAAAAATGACATACTTAATACGAAGTAGGCTTATTCGATATTATTTTAAAAGGTCAAATACTAGAAAGAATATTGAACTTATAATTCTAAGATAGGAACCAAGTCACTTTTAACGGAAATATTTGAATGAGTATAAGTAGATAAAAAATATTTCAAGTTACTAATATGTAAAGAGATATTTACTATTTAATTAACCATGGCGAAGTAATGTTATTAATCACAGAATCATATTGTAATTCATTGTGTTTGCTATTACAAATCATATTTGGATAACATTGTGGCTATCTAAGCATCTATGGAAACTTATAGTCACAGTATAAAATGAACAGTCTTGTAGTGTTACAGATTTTTAAAAAGTCTTTAATCTATGTACATACAAGAAAAATATGCATAATTAATGTTGAATAATTGATGTTAATATTTTGATTATATATTATATTTTGTCAAGTTGATTTAAAATTATTTTTTTCATTATCTTAAACTTATTTGGGGTTACCATATATTAGAAATCATAGTAATTATAAAAAAATCGTAGAAAAATATTGTAAAAGTGTACAATTAAAGTATTGAAAGCGTCCATCTCTAAATTTATGTTACTATTTATTAAGCCAAAACATTGAAATGGGTCATGAGGCGCTTGAAAACCCTAGACCCTAGTAAAACAGATATCTTGTTAGTTTGTTGTACAATTAGGGTAGTAACGATCTAATTAAATTTTAACAGAGGATTCAATTTTTTTTGGATTGGAGGATTTGTCTGAGCCTAAATGTTGTAAGCGGGAACAGAGTATTTTTATTCTGAATGCTACAAAACATATATATGACCTAAAATATCATTTACATCAAGACTGACAGCTATTGATGTTATTTTCAAGGTGTTTTGTGTTTTTCAGTTATAAAGGTTATAGTAATGTTCTGTTGTCACTTAGAGGATGAAGACATCAAACTTATAGACTGAGTTGAATCAATAATACGGACGTATAAATTCAGTTCATTGTGAATATTTAATTCCCAAAAGAAGTATTAAGAAAAGTAGTAACAGTAGTTTTACGGATTACAAAAAAAGTCTTACTTAGAACTTTTTTTTCTGTGGCAACACTTACAAAATGTCATAAAAAACTCAATAAATTAAAATTATTTTATATTTTAAATTAATTGTAATTAGTTCTGATCTTACATTCTTATCAATGTATTAATCAGTTATATATAAAATATAACAATAAACTGAGTGTCGTGCGTTAATGTGCATAGTTTTTCTTTAAGGGTTCTGTTCGTCAGCTGACATTACGCAGGTAACGAACTCAATTTTGAAAAGTTTTCTTGTTCGACTTCTTATTATCCCTTTAACTCACTTTAGAAACCCTTTTTAACAACATTACATACTAAATATGATTAACTGATTGATCATACTGCTTACTTTTATATTATTTGTTCATACAACTTCTATTTTTTTTATCAAATATGATGACTCGTAGTATCAAGGCACGTCAGGCGGAGGAACAACTCCAGCTGATGCTACAGGAACTAAAGGCATCCAGGACACAGTGTGATTTACCATTAAAAGAAAGGGATGATAATGAACAAGAATTCCTGCAAATTTTTAAAAGAAACAGTAATCTAAAAACTGAGCTTTCTCAGTTACATTTCAAATACTGAGATATGGAAGAACAAAGAAATAATCTGCAACAAATAGTCAGTGGGTTTGATAATTGCATAGATGAGTATGAGCAAGCCCTCATGCTCACCAATGAGTTAAAAATTAAATTACTTAAGGCCCAACTATATATTTCTGAATTGGAAGATAATAGCTTCAACCTAAAGGCCTCTCAAGCCCAGTGTCTATTTGATGAACTGGTGGGAAATGCAGCCTCTTTAGTGTCCCCAATCACCAATACCAATGACATCACAACAATTGATTTGACTGGTGATGATTCAGGCTCTTCCAGTCTAGTATTAGGTAAAAATACATTAAAGAAATATGTTACAATTAATAATTATATTAAGAAAACTTAAAAATTAAAAAAATCAAGAAATTATTGCTTAAATTATGAAAAAAATTACATATAAAGAAAGAAACACACTCAGACTAAAAATTATTGAATAGTCTAAGAATGTTAAAGTAATGAGTCAACGTTATGAGGCTGTCGTGAATGCTCTTCAGGCTGAGATAACATATTTACATAACTCTTTAGATATAATGTCAAAAAATATTAAATGTCTCAAAAAGAAATATCTAGGCATATCGCTGTTATACAATATATATAAAAAACTATACTTGTGATTGTTAGGGCCGTTCAGTCTCTGGGGATGGTTGGGGGCTGCTCAATGATGTAGTGTCCTTGTCTCAGTCAACAGCTCATGACAGCGCCATGCCCAACATAACACATCATGGTTTTTTTTTTTTTGATTTATTGGAACCACAAACAAGTTTACAATTATAGTTTCTTATAGCTTAATTAGTATGTACATATTAGTTATTGTAAACTCAACAACGTTGGTCACATTATACATAACAAAATAAAATAAAAATGAACCTGTTGAAGACTTAAATATGAACTAATTCAAACAATTAAGAATTTAATTATTATTAGTTATTATGGTGAAAAGATAAATATAAACAGTTTGTTCAATGTAAATATATAATAAACAATATATGAGTATAAATAAACACATACATATAAAACTAGGAATTACTATTGGTGATTTAATATATGAATAACCTGTTTTTTACAAGCTCTACTGCAGTTAGTAAAAATGTCTACATTGTAAAAATTCTTGTTATAAGCATTAATTATTCTATTTAACGGGGAACGCATACCGGCATTAGTGCGGGATCACGCTACAGCAAAAAATTTATAACGGCGGGATGACCGCATATGAGCCCGCAAGGGCACAGAATATCTAATTTGGTTTATAATGGTTGGGCAATCGTACTTATTATTGCAGATATCATAAAGTAAAACAGCTTCTAGTTGCAGTCGTCTATATTTGAGATTAAGTAGATTGTAGTTTTTTAAAAGTGATTCATAAATCATAGGGCAAACGTTTTCTACAACATTGATAATTCATGTGATACAAAAAATTTTTCTGTACCTTTTCTAAGCTTTTCTCGTATTTCATATATATCGGATTCCATACAGCAACAGCGTATTCAAGCTGTGGTATAATTAATGATTTAAAAAGGTAGACAAGAGTGGATGGATGTTTAAATTCAGTAGAGGATGTTCCCTCCAAAAAATGTACTAAAATCTATAGTGATGAATTGGGAAGAAACTTGGATGTTTTGCTCAATGACATGTGTAAGAGACAATCAGTATCAAATTATTGTATGGCGGGTGCAAGTTATTCCCATATAATGAACAGTATTTTGAATAGTACTCATTGTCCCAATACTACTATAAAGAGCGCCGACTGTCCGGCTTCTTACGTTGTGTGTATTTAACAATAACATGAAATGAAAACCTTGGTTATATATTATTTTTTTTATTTTATCATCAGTTTTATATATTGAAAAATGTAAAGCAAACTTTCCTTTGGCAAACAGTTTTTAAAATTACTTGCTTGTAAAAAAACACATTATTATGACATTTGTTGAACAAAGTTATTTCCTATCCTAATTAACATAAAAACAACATAATATCTTCTTATCTTCAATGAACATTCATAAGTATTTCTCATTATTTAAATAAAAAGTATATTTTTTAAATTAACAAACTCAGTTATATGTATTAAAGCGAGATTGTATGTACAAGATGCACAGCAACATAATATGTATATATTATATATATCCAAAAATTCTAAACATGAACTGTTTGATAAAAACAGAAAAAAAAATGAAAAAAACATATTTTTTATAACATAGGTATGGTTATAAGAAATAGGTTTATATAATTTTTTTTATATCATAACCTAATCAAATCAAAATCGTGACAACCAAGTATATCATAATCTCCTTATATTTTTTATAACTTACTTATATTTTTTAATTAAGGGTAAATTATGATGTAAGAAGACTAAAGTTTCGGCCCTTTTTGGTTGTAATCGATTTCTTTTTGTTTCATATAAGTTTCCGACCTCTGAGAACAGCCTCTCACTGTAAACAGAACTTGCGGGACAACAGAGGTACACTTTGGCCATGCGCGACATTTCGGGGTACCTAGAACTATTGCGGCTCCACCACTGAAATGGGTCATCATTACGCTTTATCACCGGTAACGCACCGTAGGACTGCAGTTCATGAGCTGAGCTTGACTTGTCATCTTGAAATTCTTGTATTTTTCTTGATGCAAAATTTTGGTAGCATTGCCAAAAATTCTTATGTGTTGCTGTTTCTATATTATTTTTATCAGTGGAGGTGCTCTGTAAATCATCATTGCCACTGTCGCTGTCGTCATCACTCATGCTATTCTTCAGAGATTCTACGAAAAATTGGGACCTAATGGTGATGAGATCCTCTGCCTCGAAAAACTGTTGCTTGTATCTTGGATCCAACAATGTATCCAAGGTGAAGATTTTGTTATGGTCCATGTCGAATCTAATATTCAAATCATTTTCCATTAGGGCTATCATTTCCATGATTTCTTTGTTGTCATCATAATACATTTCTACATATTTTTTTAGGGTTTTCAGATGAGGTATTACTTCAGATACTGATGAGCAACTTGAACTTATTATCTTGGTAATCTCTTCAAACGGCTTTAGTAATTCGATGCTTTTTCCTAGTATTTGCCCCTCTTCAGGAAACCGCTCGTTTTTGTTCGAAGAGGCGAGATATCATATAGTATGTGGAATTCCACCTGGTACATACATCTTGAACAAGCTGGTGATGTGATAAATTTAGTTCTTGCTGCAAATCCCAAAGTTTTGACTGAGCTTGATTAGAATGATTAAAGTGTGTCACTATTCGTCTCGATTTTACTAGTATTTGTGCCATGGTATCATGTTTCAAAAGAGTATTGATAGCCAGTTGAAGAGTATGTATGAAACATGGTACTCCCTTAAAAACTGAATCGTCAATTGCTTTCGTCACATTTCTGCCGTTGTCTCGTACCACGGCGTGGATTTTGGTCGTATCTATATCCCATAAAGTTGGAACTTCTTCTAAACAATTTTTGATATTATTGGCGGTGTGTGTTTCAGGAAAATGTTTCATTTGCAATACTCCGTGGTGATATTTGAAACTATCGTCTAACCAGTGAGCTGTAAAACTCAAAAAACTTTCTTTATTATTTATGTTTGTCCACATGTCAGTAGTAACTGAAATTGCAGTTGCACTTTTCAATCCTCTTCGTATTTCAGATTTAGTCTCTTCGTATAGTTGAGGAATGATGTTTTCTGTGAAATACTTTCTGCCCGGTATTATATTTAGGTTTAACTTTCCTCATCAGGTTTCTAAAGCCTGTATTTTCAACAATTGACAACGGCTGGTTGTCAAGTGCAATCATTTCACCTATCGCAAAATTGATTTCTCTTGATCTTGAGTCTTCATATGACCAGTGGATAGTGAAACTGTCTTCAAATTTTTGTTGATTTTCTTGACTTAAACTGACCTCTGATTACACTGAAGTTGATGGAGTAGGCACTGCTTTAGGTAATTCTTCTGAATTATATTATCAATGCAATTTTTGAACAAAATGTATGATGTAGTCTCTAAGCAGATATTGTTTTACTTAAATTCCAGATAAATAAAAGTGAGAAGAAATGCCATATGTTTTGGGTATCCCTTTAGGTGGAGGTAATACTCACTTTCATCCTGAATATACGCAACAAGAAAAACTGCTTAGTGAAATGGTTATGAGATTATGGACAAACTTGGTAAGAAATGGGTAAATATACATATTTTAAAAATAGTTTTTTATATATGTAGCCATAAGTATAGTTCTCAGGTTTACTTTAATGAAAAATTGCAATAAGTAATATATAAACTGTGTAAAGATGTCTTCAGTATGCAAAAGTAAGAAGGTATACGGATATATAATTTAATATTAAACAATCTGGAAAGGTATTACTCTATTAGATTCAAAATATTAGGTATATAAGATTTGGTTAGATAGAAAGAGGAACTTGGAGGGTGGAGGTGAGTGTTTAATGCGCTTTTAGATAGGGGCCCCTTAAACCTACATCTGGGTCGTAGGCACTGTTGAAGATCCTCTCCCTGCAATGCAATAAACTTGACACCGCACGGCGACCCATTGAATGCCAAGAAGTCTTATCTCTTGTCAGAAATTAAGATACTGAATCCGTTTTTATAAATTAAACTGAAATATATTGATCTTATGTGTAGTAACTTTTTATTTTTAACTTAACTTTTTCTCTTCAACAGATCACTGACCACTCAAAGTGTGAATGAGTATTATATTATGTACAATGGATAAGAAACAGTGGCTCAAATATAACGTAGAGTATCCCGAGTATAACGTCGCTCACCAACCATATGTACGAATAGGTAAGTTCTAAAATATCACATATTACCTCTTATTTCATATACGAGTAGAACTGTTCAGCATAAAAGTAACATAATATTGGCATTATATAAAACGTTATTTTACTTAAAATCGCTTACCTTAAAATAATTTCTGCGTTATCATTTAAAGTTTTTAGTTGGATGGTTACTTACTTTTTCCAGGGAAACTCTTTTTACGAGCCGTTCAACCGGCCTTGATGGGGCCGGAAGGGTGTGTGAGGCTCGGCCTGGGCAGGCCCCTACTCACTAAAACCACTGCGAAAGCCATCGGCCGCTGTGTCGGTGCACCCCGGATCTGTCAGCGACAGGCACACCAGCGACTGGCCGGTCCTGGCAATGACCGGACTTACTCCCTCGAAGTATGGGGGCGATCCTGACGATTAGGTCCGGACCGACAACGTGAAAGCCCGTTTCACAGGAGCACGGGAGTTAACATATTAAACTCTTTTGGTTAAACAATATATATAGGTTTGTAGTTTTATTGATTTCATTTGTAACTATTAAGATGTTATATGGATCTTTGGAATAATTTAGTGGAACCAGTGTTGTATTTTATTGCACTTAAAGTTGTTAAAATAACTGCTAAAAGAATTTTCGCTTCCTCTTTAACTAGAATAGTGTCAGATATGGAATGACTTGCGATTAAGTTATCTTTGTGATGTCTTAGCTTTGCGGCTATATTGAATAATATCTTCATTACCAACAGCAGTCTCAGAAAATTATTCAGTTTATTATTAAAATGAGTTTAATAAATCTAAATGTATTTCAACTGTATGTACATATCTTTGTTTGTTTCAGATTCTGCACCATCAATAATAGTCTGTATAGATCAGATTATACAAATTTTTAGATAGAAACACTTTCTAATAAAATTAAGATAAACGTTATACGTCCTTTACCTGCGTGACCAAAACCAAATCACTTTACAGAATACACATATGTACAACTTCAGGTTCATCGCATGATACAGAAACTAGTACAGGAACAGTGAAGAAAATCGAAATTAATTAATGTTCTATTTTTATATCTCATTTACTAACCAATCGATCTCAATTATTTAATTGTACTACTTTTTAATTGTTATAAGACTTTAGTGAAATTTTCATTTAGACTTGATAAGACCATTATTAGACATATTCATAAATTTTTTCAAGACAAAGAATTGTACATTAGAATTTTAGTATTATTTGGATTAGGTGAATAAAATATGTTTTAAGTTAATGACCACTCGGTTATTTACCTACTTATATCAAGCAATTTTATGAAAATTAATATAAGATTTGTATAATGCAAACCATGTTTACTTAAATATTCGACATATTATATTTCTACTGTTTCTGTTTTTGGGTGGTTACAATAATTGTAATATGTAATGAAAAATAAATAAAAAAGCAATATGTATTTTTTTCTATAGGATATTATAAAAAAGGCATTTACACATCTTTCTTTTTAAACTGAGGATAAAAATAAAAAGGAAAAGCTTATAGTTTTAGTCGTTTAAAATAAAATGTACCCTAAATTTGAATCTCTTCAAAAACTAGCAACAACTTTTTCCTTTTAACTTTGATTATTATTTTTCTGTTTATAATTAATAAAAGAAATTTAACATGAAACTCTTGCAGCAATTAAAACAATTGGATTCGAGATTACGTTTGCATAACCAAAAGAGTAGTTTAAAATAAACGGCACAATTAAATTACACAGAAGTTACTTTCAGAGTTTTAACAAGAGCATTTAGTAAAATTTTGAGTTGAAATATCTTTCTTGGACTCTTTAATCTTTTATATCCTTTAAAGGGATGCGACTTTGTGAAATATCCTCTGTTTGGTACAATTTAAGAGAAATCGCTTTAAAAAAGTATTTGTCTGTGTTTTGTATAATTTTAGTGGAAATATTAATTACAATACTTAGAGTTTTTTTCAAATATTATGTACTATAGCGCCTCAACAATATTTAAGGCCATTGCGCGAGCGTCGTGTTCCCGCTAGGTACATACAAGACGCCTGGACGCCCCCCCCCCCCCCCTCCCGAGGTAAAACCCCTTTCTCCACTCTCCAATGCGAAATAGGACACGAAAGGGAACGGTCATGCGTCTTGTAGACTCGCATTTGTTTGTATTTGCCTTAGTTTCCCTTTTATGTAACTGTGTGTCTATTTTTATTGTGTTAAATAAACGTGATAGTACATTATTTTATCCTGTATTCAAAAATATTTTAAACTAAGATTATTAATTTTTGCACGATTCCTTTGGTTTAAACCAAAGAAAATGTAAAGTATTTAATTCTGTAATAAAAGCGTATCTTTGTAACGCTATCATAGGGTCCAAGTCCAATAACTTATCTCATTAATGAAGGTTACAAAGAACATTATAAATGATTATACTTAATAGAGATAATTTCGGTTATATTGTGAGCACATTTCCAGGACGAATTTTTCGCATTATTAGCCATTTAGATGTCGATTACTATAATTTGTTTTAATAAAGTTTGAGATATCTTGTTATCGAAGTATGATTAGGTATGAAGTATCGGTTCCATATTTAGTTAACACATTCAAATAACTTTATTATTGATGTAATGTTCTATTAATTTAACAATTAATTCGACATAATTTGTACACTGATAAAAATATCAAGGAATTATTTGATGGTAGATTTAAGAAAAATTTTAGAATATTGTAATTATTTAGCAACTACTAATTAATTGCTTAAGAACTAAAGAAAGCCAAGAAAGAGGAAGCATAAAACGAATATAGTTTGAGCAGGTTTGACAAATGTGATATTTCAGCTTATAAATATAGCTGTTAACATAATATATACATATGTACCTTCCCAATATCAGACAAAAATCTTTTCATTGTGTTAGAGCTACACAATAAGATGACGTATTAAATGCCCTTATGTTTTGCCCATACTTTTGATTGCTATTATAGATTAGGTATATGTATCTACAGCTAAATTATTTGCATCATTCAAGTAAATATAACAGATTTTAGAATTTAATTGCTACAACTAAATCTTTACCAATATAAAGACAACATTGTATATAAATCTTTGTCAATTATTATTTTTCTTAAATGTTGATGTATTTTTACGATTTTTGAATATAACATACACTTAAATAATGGGGACCAAAAACATTTATTTTAATTTAGGTATAGTCCTATTAAAACAACCTCAGAAACCGTTACAGCTTCTCTAAATTGATTTGGCAAGTAAGAAGCAAATCGATATTTAAAAATTAAAATGTAATTAAGTTGTTGTCTTTCACACTGTATAGGAATACAATATCTTTTGTATGAATACATTATTATTCATGTAGACAGATATTTATACTTTTTTTGTATATGAGCCAAAGTAACAAAGGGCAATTTCTCGATATTTTTATATCAGCAATAAGAATAGTTTAAACACAAATAAACAATAAGTCTTAATACATTTTATGACTTTATATATTTTTACTTCATTAACACATTTTTTTTATTCACCCATACTTTTTGCAAAGGAGACTAAGCATAAAACCAATTTTTTTTATTAGTTACTTATTAGGCATTGTATTTTCTTCATAGAAGAGGTTTTCTTTGGCATTTGCCCTTTAGTTTAGACTCATCCGCATTGCAGAATATAGAACTGGCCGCATTATAAGTATAAGTACTTATATTATAAGTAATATATCGTAAGCCGGAGGAAATTGGATTTTGTAAGTTAGTAAAAGTAGCTCCAAAGCAAAATTTCAGCAGGGTTAGTTGGTATAGTAGACTAATGTGATATATGATTATACATA